AGTTTGGGCCCTTGTTAAAACTGCAAGGTTTCCGACATTTTCTGGCTTCGCCTCCGTAAGTATTATGGAACCAGCAGCATTTCGGGTTTTCCACCTTGCTAGGCTTGGTTTTGAGGCAACCACGCGAGTTGCTGCGATGTGCTAAAATGCATTCCTGTGAAATGCTACGTGAACCAGGACTTCGAGATCGTAACAACCGTTTCACAGAGTTGCACAACTTGGTCACCTCTGAATCCTGGCACTGTGGTTTGTCGCAGACAGAATATACGTTGGAGACGAGTCTGCTGGAAATCTCCAGTATTTTATCTGCCGAGGCTGCCAGGTCATCGAACGAGACTGACTGCAGTGTCACCAACACGGTTTGCACCGGTTGTGGTAGTTTTGAGAGAAATAGTTCTCGGAAGAAACCGTCGTCGAATGTTCGTGCACCGATTACTTCTCGCATGCGTGCGAGGACCTCAGTAGCTGAGTGGGTGCCTAGCTCGATGTTACGAAGTAATTCGTCTAGGCGCTGGCGATCTGTGAGATCGCTTTTCTTCAAGAGTGCGGCCTTTAGAAGTGCATAAGGGTCACTTACTTCAGGATTAAACATGTATGCTGCAACATACCTGTTTGATTCCCGCGGTGGTGACCTTATGACAGCGAGGAATCGAGATTGAGTATCGAAGACACCCTTTTCTCGAACGTCGGCCTCGGCATACAGCAACCCTATTTCTGCATTGTCGGGCCAATTTGGCACGAGTTGGATCGTGTTCGTAGTCGGCTTAATACGAATAAGCTTGGGAATGTGGTCGAACATGAGAAAGTGTAGTAAATGGATACATAAATGTTGTCGAAGGGAAGACAACAAACAAATATAAAATGGAACAGGCTCACCAATTCAATATTTGTTATTGGTCGGGATATGCGATCACGTCGGGCTCACCAATTTAGGATTTGTCCTGGTGCGAACTTGACAGACGCAAAGACCAATCATTAATTATTCGAACTTGTTATGTACCCACGAGTACGAGACCAAGGAAGAACACGATAGCTTAGTCGGATGGAATAGTATATTTGGATGGTTATGCCAAAATACCGATGCGTTCCAACTAACTGGCTAGAGAGTCGAAAACGAGCAATGCAACGTAACACGACAGTGTGCCAAATGGCGAGGATGCTTGGCCGGGTGCCTTCAGCTCAGCGAGTCCAGTTAAACTATCAAGGTCAGCATCAATGTTGGGTGCCGTCAAACCCCAGGCCATTGAGTTTGGGGAAGTGTGTGTCGCTACAACCTCATACTCGCGAGCATTGTACAAGTGCGAAGAGTTGTTGGTTTGCCTCCGCATCTGTCTTGTTGACCGGGGACACTTTCCAAAAATCATGTAGTTAGGCAATTGAGGTGAAGACTGGGTAATGAAATTTCTTTCGGAAAACTGTGAAGGCTGTGAGGTCATTATCGGGAATGTTCACAGGAATGAAAACCATGACATACTTTTGCTTCCTACCTGACTGTCGGAGAAAACATAGAGAAGGTTGGCTGTAGCCGAAATGAATGCCAGCAACCCCTAGACGTGCTGATCAGCACGTTCTTATCTGAGACGCACCTCTGCAGGGATTTGAACTAAGCTATCATATGTCATGTGTTCAGTGGAGGTGAATGACAAACAGCCACCTATTAACGGCAGTCTAGTTCTATTACTAATGCGGTTAAAGTAGTGGAGAATAACACATGCGGAGCAATTGAACCATCGTAGTGACAATTTCTTAAAGGAGTAATACAAGTTAATAGCTCTCTTTCCATCTCATTGGACATTAGAGACTGGAAACTATTAGTGTATGAATTTAACGTTTCATCTTGCATACCTAGTACATAGTAATCAAAGTTTAAGAGATGATTGTTCCTCGACGCGAAATGCTTGTAAACAACTGCTGGTTTTATGTTGTCTTAAGCCTCTTAGGACCTCTAAATGCAGACATTTAATGCTGTACACTATAGTCACAGGATATAATCCTCTTCAACAAATACCCCAACAAAATACAGAGTCTTCAGAACTCGTGAAGCCTTGAGGATCTGGATGTCTTTGGAATACGTTTCACATCTGCTAAATGTAAGATAACGCTACAACTGAGCTGCACCGACTCCTAGTATAAGGATGGAGAGTGAAGAGGTAGACTGTTTTGGGCACTTAATCAAATTTGCGTGTTGCTTCTAGTCGAAGAGACTTCATAGTCGCAAATATTAGCTCAGTTACAAAAGTGATTTTTGGTATTTGTCAACTTATATCATCTGTGATCCCCGGAAGATGTAACAGTACCACTGCAAAACAACTTTTGCACATCTCTTTTCATCTCCTTTACAGCTAAAATGGTTACTGAAGGTAGGATGCATAAAGTTGTAGGGCTTTTATTGCAGGCATCCATGTAGTATTACTCACATATCAGAGAACTGCGATGAGACAGGCATAGAGAAGGTTGACGTTTGGGGTTTACGTTTCCATACCCCTACATTTCCAACAGGAGGAGCAGCATTAGCATTGTACAGCTGGCCACACATGAGATACATCTTACGGCTGTCATATGCCCTCCAGACAGCAGTACAACTTCACCTTCGGATCCCCAAAATAACGTAGGAATTTACTGTATGATATGGACTAGTTTTTACCTCACTACTATCTATCAGACCTTTCTGGAATGTTAGGACTTGAGGGAACAAGCCTTCAAGTCCAGTGTAGATAGCTGGGTTATTTCCATACACAAATCTGACTACCAAGTTAAGCTAATAGAGGTTAGTCAGGCACATTTCTATATATATGGAGACGCGGTCATTTAATTTTCTTGAGTACTTTCTCGGTTGAATCCTAGTAACTTTAGCATAATATGTGCACACCTCGTAGGACTAGGGAACCGTATACATCATTCACTGTTAATCAGCGTAAAGTAGTGGATGAGAATAGTGGCACTGCACTTTGCTTCACTACTCAGATTTGGAGAGTTCGATTTTTAAGACCTAGCTGTATTACTGTTCCTAACACTTGACCAGTCTTATGTCCAACAGTGTGGGCCAGAACCAAACTAGTCGGTGCCTTACTTACGTCTAAATAAAGGCAGGGAAGGAAACACATGTGGTAAAAAGTGCTCAGATGAGCAGTTTTCCTATTGGGAAGCGGAAATAAGATTATTTCAGGGAAGGATGGCCAAACACATTCTCCTATTGACAGCTGAGCTAAGGACTCCTGGTGTGTTGTTGCGGATTAATACGAAGATGACTCAGAAGTGGCAGATAACAACCGACGGGTGCTTATGCGTTAAAAGAACTTACAAAACTGAAGCCGCCGTAGTTTATTTAGATATTTGAAACGTTTACTTATTTCAAACTCTGTAGATTTTTTGTGCCAAGAAGGTTACTACAAAGTTAATGTTATGCAGGCTCTCGTAAAGTGATTTTTAATGAATTCACTCCTCCATATCCATGAAACAACATAGTTTAACAAGACCCTTAATTTTGTTACAGAAAGTAGCTTGTATTATAACTAGTGATTACAAAAATCTACTTAGCTGTGATATATTTACCACGTGCATTTACTAGGAGCTTTGAGAGTTTATTGACAAAAATCAAGGTGCGTGAAATACTTACAAATACGATAGTACCTGGACAAACGATCGGTTGCGTGCAGCAGCGGGTATGGCTTAGCTCTCTTCTTGTTAAATGTTTTTACACATAGCCTGTTTGAGTAACTATTCAGTTAACAGATGTGCAATTTTAAATGCAACGCTGCCTCTTGTTGTCACTAGTTTTCATAAGCTAGTTTGCCGCATATAAGTCGACAGATCCTGCATATGCATTAATCACATCCTACTTGTCTTCTCCATTTAGTTGATGCAAACATTACCCGGATCTGTCTGAGAAACATCTTCAAGTCGATGAATCGTGTGATGGAACCACAAGTGACTGACAACTTCCTAATAAAAGCTCATGCATAAAACGATCATGAAAAGATGACGCGCTGCATACCTAAGTCGAACTTAGGAGCGGCATGTCGGTCATTTAAATTGTTGGAAGATTTCTGATTGTCCGAACAAAACGAATGGCATATACGAAGACCAGATACAATCAAAGGACAATAAATCATTAGCTACTCACTTCATAAACTGTAAAAAGTACGTGTGACTGGAATACACAGGTCACTTCGTTCAGAAACAGTAAACAATAATTCTAAGGAATTGTAAGCTATAGTAAAACCATTGTGATATCTACTTTAGAAAACCTCTACAGCATAGGCAAGAAGTTATAAAATCATGGAAATGATTTGCAGCTTCGAGTGAATGAGAATGACCTGACGTTCCCTAGTTCTTGATACTCTGTCGTGTTTCGCCACCAGGTTTGATAACATCTGAGCACCGACCTATAGTTTGGCATCGAAGTGTGAATTCATCAAAGTAGTCGTGATAAAAATTGAACCATACTCATCTGCCACAGTAAGACCTAGTTATTCAGGGCTCATAATGCCGCCAAGTTTGATGACATATATGGGAGAGAATTTCACATGTAAGATGAAACAAGGTACTGTTAGCAACTCATGTTAAGCATTTTGCTAGGAAGCATTATAAGCAACTTTGGTGTGAATAAATAGTGCTCAAACTTATCATTGCAACTAACAGTTAGACGACAGTGACGTGCTTCGAAAGTTACCATGTATCAATCATCAAATATTTATCAGTAAACAAGTGGTGAAAAATTAAACATAAGCTGTGTAGGATGTTTTACAAAGTGCTTAAATATGCAATTTTCAGCTGGTGGGACACCCACAAATATAAACCACACACCCAAAGAATAAAATAGTTTTGTCTTAGAAATCAACGTCTTCCACAAGTCCAAATACATCTTTCATACTCTACGTAACTATCTGTTCGTGTAAAGACTTGAGAACTGTTGCTTTGCTGCAGCATGGTATAATGGGTTTCACATATCTAGAATCGACGTTAATGGTACCCCAACCTATTCATATAATCCAGACAATATGATATTGGTATGTATGTACCTGTAACCTCGCTCGGTTAAGTAGTTCACTAGTACTAGCCGGTCCTAAGCCCGGGTAAACAGGGAAGGTTGGACATGCGTATAGCAACCCTACCCGCAAAACAAATACAACCGCTAAAAACATTCAAAGCACAAACAAAATATAGGAAATCAAAACAAAATTATTCCCGCTGGAATCAGGGGGGCGAAATAACGCCGGTTGGTGAAAGCCTGCCTTCGGAAAGCCAATTGGCCAAATGTCTTCTCTCGATGGAAGCGGAAGTAAACGTGGGGATATGGAATGTCCGCACAATGTTTGAACCCACCAAGGCTGTCCAGATTCCAAACGAGAGGAGAAGTTATCTCATTAAAGTGTTAGGAACTTGCGAAAGCAGATGGAATGGAAGTCGACTCTCCAAACTGTCAACTGCAGAGTCATTTATCCACTCCGGTCACCCAGACAACAACCACGAGCATACTGAGTTATGGAGTGGCTATCATTATGTCTCCAACGGCATCAAAGGTTCTCATTCAGTGGGAAACAATCTCCTCCAGGATCATAACAGCAGGGTTCAACTCAAAGGAAGCAAAGTCACAATCATACAATTCTACACCACGCACCTACAAATAATGCAGAGCAAGAGAAGGAGGAGGAATTCTACAGACAACTGCAATCAACACTGGACAAGACCCCATCTCAGTTGGTGATATCAAAATTCTAATGGGTTGGGTGACACGAATGCCAAACTGGGAGCGGACAACACACGAAGAGAACTAACCATGGGTCGAGAAGTGCTAGGTGGAATGAAAGAGAATGGAGAATTGTTTGCAGAATTCTGTGCAATCAACGACTTGGTGATTGGAGTCAGGCACTGTGTTCAAGCAAAAGGATATCCACAAAGCGACATGGAGTTGATTTCACCAGACACCACACCAGGACACACTAAAAATCTGATTGACTTAATTTCAATGTGAAGAAAGTGGAGACGCAGTCTACTTGACACAAGGTAAAGAAGAGGAGCAGATGTTGGCTCAGACCACTATCTCTAGTACAAGGAACCTTCCAAATCAAGTTAAAAGCCTTCAAGGAAGCTGGTGATGGACAGGTCACAGTTCAAGTACAACACTCGGAAACTGAAGGACGAAACTACGAAGGAAATCTTCACGGCAATCATCAAGACAAAATGAGAGATATCTAGCAACATCCCTGAAGAAACCTGTGTGGAAGAACACTAGAAGTCTTTGAAAGCTATGTGGGAAGAAACCTGCACAACCGTATTAGGAAGGAAGAAGAAAGAAGACAAGACAAGGAATGGATCTCGATGGACACATGGAAGCTGATAGAGGAGGGAGAGGAGGATGGTGAAGCAGAAGATAAACCAATGCAAGGATGAACAACGAGAAGTGGAACTGAGTACAATGTGCAAAACACTACACTGGACAAAGAAGTGAAGAAGGGTGCACGCAAAACAAAAGACACTTCTACGAAACACTGGCAAGTGAAGCAGAACAGACTGCAGGTAAGAGAGACCTGACGACATTGTATCAAATAACCAGGTTGGTATCTGGGAGGAGATCAACGCAGACGAAACCAATAAAAGATGATGACGGAAATTTAATTGCGAAAGAAGAGAAACAAAGGAAACAATGGGCCGACCACTTCAAGAAGCTCTTGAATTGACCACCACCACTTCGTCCAGAAATACCACCTGCAGCCCAGCCGCTGAACTGCAAGTGAACATAAATCGCCCAGCAAAAGTCGAAGTCCTGAATGCCGTAAAGCTACTGAAGTGCGGGAAAGCAGCTGGACCAGATGGAATCCCGCCAGAAGCACTGAGAACAGACGCAGAGACAACAGCGGACATGCTCACACCACTATTGCAGAAGGTCTGGAAGGAAGCGAAGGTATCTGGCTAGTGATTGGAAGAAGGGTTACCTTGTCAAACTGCCGAAGAAGGGAGACCTCAGTGTTTGCAAGAACTGGCGCGGAACCACTCTCCTGTCCACCCAGAGCAAGCAAAATATTAGGCCGCATCATCCTGGAGAGATTAAAGGATGCGCTGGATTCAAAATTGCGACCGGAACAGGCTGGCTGGATTCAGGAAGTACAAATCATGTGCCGACCAAATTGCAACGCTTCGCGTCATCATAGAGCAGAGTATAGAATGGCAGTCAACTATCTACCTCAACTTCATCGACTTTGAGAAGGCCTTTGACAGCGTCGACCGAGGGGTAATTTGGAAACTGCTTCAATACTACGGAATACCACAAACCTTTATGAGCCTCATTCAACAACTATATGAAGACGCCACATGCCAAGTAATTCACAGCACAACGGGAAGCTCAGTGATGCTTTTGAAGTGAAGACAGGAGTGAAACAAGGCTGTCTTCTATCACCCATGATGTTCTTGATTGTGGTCGACTAGACTGGATCATGCAACAAACAGTGAGGAGCTGTGAGAAGGGGGGGGATACGCTGGACCACGGGAAAGAATCGAGAAGATCTGGATTTCGCCGATGACTTGTGCCTGATGTCACACAAACTTGAAGATCTGCAGGCAAAACTAACAAGTTGACGGAAGAGGCAGGGCAGCGAAGACGGGACTTCAAGTGAATATAGAGAAGACAGAGGTGATGAAGATACCTCACCACCACCACCAACAAACTTCAGTCACCATCAACGGGAGAAACTTGAAGGAAGTAACCTCCTTCACCTATCTACGCAGCACTGTCTCAACTACAGGCGGCACAGACGAGGATGTCAAGGCCAGAATCGGAAAAGCAAGACAGGCTTTCATTAGCCTGAAACCAGTGTGGAGATCTTCTGTACTGCACTGCACTCAGCATGTGGAACAAGATCCGGATTTTCAACACCAACGTCAAGTCAGTGCTTCTATGTGATGGCTGTGAGACTTGGCGCGTCACGAAAGGCATTTCCGACAAACTACAGACATTCATCAACAACTGCCTACAATGGCTCGCTGCTGAAGATCAGATGGCGAGAAGGAATAAGCAACAAGGAGCTCTGGGAACGAACCAACCAAGAACCTATCACCCAACAAATATGCACTGGAAGGAAGTGGAGATGGATTGGGCATACACTGAGAAGGCCGACTGGGGACATCACGCGTCAAGCCAGTTGCTCGAGTGGAACCCCGATGGGAAGCGACGAGTTGGGCGTCCGAGGTGAGGGTGACATGGAGGAGATCGTGCGAGGAGGAAATGAGAGGTTGTGGGCTATCGTGGGGCCAGGTTCAAAGACTTCAGAGAACAGAGCGCATTAAAGACGTGCTACTGAAGCCTTATGTTCCATTAGGAACCCAAGGGACTAATAATAATAATGTACCTGTAGTCTTGATAGTAACATATCAGCCTGTGGGAATAATCTGTCGCACTTTCAGAAACAGTCAATTCTTCTGTTCCCGCAATTTTCGATTTGTCTTCAGGAATATCATCCATCTTATTCATACATTCACTTCTGTCAGTGAGAACTACTATTCCTTTATCAGGCCTGGTAAATATTAGGTTTTTATTCATTACAAGTTTGCTAATGAACGCTTTGTGGTTCTTCATCAGGACATATCAACAGGTACGCTAGCCTTTCCTGAAAGGATTACACCAACCACAGTTCAAGATTGAAAGAAGGTACGAGGTTCACTATCTGACCATACAAATTTCGAAAATGAATGTCTGTATCTATATGCTTAGTGTGATTGCCTGTTCAAAAATGTAGTATCTAAGGAAAGAAATTCAAGTTGCACCATATCTAATGCAACACTAGAAAAATTGAGCATGCAACCCTTCGATGTTGTTGGAAACTTACATGTAGCTATAGTCTTTCGTCAGCCCACTAAATTTGTTCTCTGCTCTTCTTTTAGTTACTTGATTGACGTATTCAACAAAATCATAATCTGGAAGTTCATCTACGGCATACTGGCTAGGGAACATATTCATTTTTATCTCATATTTATATGCGTAAAAAAGTCAGTTTGATTTATGGCATATCTCTCCAATGTTTCAGTGTTAGGAAGATTTGTAACACAACTTGGGATAACGATTTGATTCAATGCAGTTTTCAATAAAATTTCAAGTAATCTTTGCTTTAGTGAGTTGGGCGTTATATTTTAGGAACCTGGTGAGAACCTTCGAATACTGAAGATTTCAATCTTTCTGCAATATATTAGTCGAAAATAAATCATCATCAGTAAGCAGTGAACAATACAGAACAATTAAAGTACCACTGAGTATCGTCACCTACACATACCCTACGGCATATGTCAGCAACATGAAATTGTTATCTTTATAATCTCTAACTGTGAACGCAAAAAGAAAGACACTGGTCTAGTTTAATATATTTAAAATTTTAAATTATAACAGCTGCAACATACTAAACACGTTTCACAGCAAATAATTTGATCATATTGTTTGATCAAAATAAAAACCAGTCAAGGAAATTCTTTCATTAGCCAAGAAAAAAAGTAGAAAAAAGAAATTAGATTAAATTGATGCTGCGACCAATCTATCACGTGGTGAATAGAAAAGGAACAAATACCTCATTCATCGTTTTCTGGTCACAGTGAAATATCTTCATGAGAGTTTCCTCAGTAAGCGTGGCAGCTAAACCAACTTCATTTTCCTCCTTCAACCTCAACAGATCACTCTAAAACAAGAAAAAACTAAGCCACCAGTAGCACCAAGACATGCTTCATAAAGTTTACCAATGAATACATGATACTTCATGACTATTTTTACGACGAAGACCAAATTAATCTCTCGAAAGCAGTGTCTAGTGTAATCACAAAACTTGGAAGCAAAAGGCAATACCGGAAATATGTATATATATTGCAAAAAGTCACTCAAGTTATGCAGGTAGGCGAAATCTAGCAACTAAGTCAACTCTAAATATCCCCCAGATCGCTGTCCACATACCACATCTTCACCTTTAATTCTTCCCTCACGTCTCCCAATCAATCGTCCTAAATCATATTCAATTCCTTCCAGCTGTGCAGCTCTTGACAACCACCTCGGTTCACAGAACAGCATCACTGATCTCCTGAGACAACGCCCTGAACTACACACCAGAGCCTTCAATGTCCACCCTACCTCAATCAAATCGGTCAACAAACTTCACTGGTCAAAACTAAAGTATCTTGGGCCACGAATGTGTTGTGTTTGTGAGAAACATGAATAGAACTCAAGTGCAGTTATTCACATAACCTCACTCAGTCAGTGTGGTGAGTCTTCGAAATTTACCCTTCGAGTTTCTGGAGATTCGATGACAAGTTCTTGCCATCTTGCAGATGTAAGCATAGCATCATGTGCTAAAACATAAAGTGCACTGCTCCACTGGATGCCAGTGGGCAATCGCCATAGACCCACTGTTGGACTAAACAGCACAATGAGGATTCCAAAATAGTGAAACTCACACTCGTCTCTTTATATTCTATGCTTACGCATCCACTGACGATAGTCCGGAAGAGGTGAAATATCAGTATTTGATTTCCATGCACGTCAGATAGAAAGGCGCTTCGGTGGATGGCACTTTCGGAATCCCAGCCGAAACGTAAAGATCACGGCGATCACCTGTTACTAGTGAACTCAGATAACAGTTTATTTCCTACCAGTATGAACTTCAGATATCAAGGGAGACATTGTTTGATATGGTGCCCACCGACCTCAACTCAGTGGTGGACACAAATACACCACATTGCTATCACTTGTCCTTGGAGAGGATCGTGAGAAATTACTACTCCTAGATCATGCATTTGTCCGACTACACATGTCTGCGTCTGATGTGAGGAAACTACAGCAATAAGGCCACTGCAAATGCTGGTTTCAACTATCTGGACTGTTATCCGGACAGGAAAATGTCACTCATCCAGAAGAATCCAAGCGTCATCCAATGTCTGCTGAAATAACAGCGTTAAAGACCGTGGCTGGCACTTAGACAGTGGTCAGAAAAGGCCATCGGATCTCGTCAGCTTCTTCCGAATTAATGGATGCACGCCTAGGCATCCCTGCAGGCTCTGAATACAATAAATAGCGAATGCAACTCAAGTGTAGACTGACAAAAAGTCTACGCAGTGACCACGTACAGTGGAGGACAGCGAAGGCTATAGCGACAGAAAAGGCAGCGGATATAAGTAACAGTAGATATTTACTTGGACTGGTCAAGGACAGAAAGGTGAGTGGGAAGAGGATGTATTTGTGATCCACTTGCAGGGGGGGGGGAGCGACTAGGAAAATGGGCGGAATACTTAGAGGGACAGTTCACCTGGCCTCCAGCCTCTAGTCGGATCCTAAATAAAGCATTGAGATAGGACCCTCAATATCTACAGAAGACAAGAAAGTTGCAGGTAACCTCAAACGAGGGAGAGCAGCAGAGCTAGATGGACTAGTGGATAAATTAATCTGAGTGTTAACTGGTAAGTGGGAGCCAGTTACGATCACCTTGGTCTGATCTCAATCACCAATTTTCACAGTCTTTAAAAAGGGTAAGAAGTCCTCTTGTGATGACCACAGAGGAATCAAGTTAGACGAAGGTGTCAAACATTCTAGGCTCTATGATCATTAGACGTCTAAGTGAGGCTCCGGAACAGTAAACCGGAGAAAATCAAGGAGACTTTAAACCTGGCTGTGAGTGTATTAACCAGATATTCACACTCGGCCAGGCTCTGGAACAAACGCACACACACAAAGCATGACACCAGACGTTTTTCTTGACCCAAAGGCGGTATTCAACCCCGCCAACTGAGAGGTCTTATGGGGGTGTCTCTCAATGAAAGGCATGCAAGTTAAATACATCACTCTGTTAAAGGCTGTTTACTCGAACAGCCAACGGGGTGTTAGAGACTAGGCTGAGTTATGTCCGTCAAGGATGTTTACTGTTCCCCTGAGTGGCTATTTGAGAATGTTCAGGATGCGTTTCCCACCAATTGAATCCCAATATTCGCCCCAGGACTCGTCATCAGTGGTACCTTGTATAACAACAGAAAGTGAAGCTGTTAAGTGCGTTGACCACTTCAATTACGTGGGAAGTTGAATCATCCCTGGTTGGTCAGTTACTGAAGAAATAAATGCACACAGACAGAAGGCTCGATTGGCTTTCAGCCACTTAAGCCATTTACGGCCCGGGAGTGATATCCGATTGTCTACTAAGAGTCGAGTGCATTACGCTGTGGTTCACTCTGTTCTACTATATGGCTGCGGAGAATGGTCACTAAAGGTAGTCTACATGCGAAAGATCCAGGTGTCCGATAGCCATTGCCTTCGCATCATAGGCCATGTATCGTAGTATCGCCATGTCAGCAACGCCGAAGACAAGTGTAGAGTTTTAGGGGGGAGAGGATGGTTAATTGATGCAGTTGTGAATTTTTATTGTCTGACGTGGCTGGGACATGTGTTACGTATGTCTAGTTATCATCTGCCGCTTCATACAATGTTATTTGAAGTAGATTCATGGTGAAAAAGCGTTAGAGGTGCCCAGACTAAAATGTGAAATCCTTGCTTGACGTCTTTGGCTGTTGATCCAAGCTGTATAGAAAAATGTAGATTACCCGGTTGGAGTCCACGGGACAACAAAAATTGCTGACTATAGACTAGGTGGTATGGGTCAGAATCCACCTTAGTGGGGGACAATGTATCTACACATTATCTTCGTCTTACTCGTTATGCTGAATCCCGTATTTTCTTATTCCTCCCTTCGGTCTCCGTTACAACTTTCTACCACATCTGATTGCTTTCCTCTTTTTTTAGTCTTTATTTTCCATTTTAGTGCTTTTTCGCCTTATGTGGTGATATGAACTGCGGTAAATTGTACCGTAATCCTGTAACGCCCAGTCTTGTGTTGATGATGAGCTAAAAAGCTAAGCAAAACTAAGCATCGAATTCGTAGTACTTTATGGGATTGAGAAGTCAGTTTGAACAAACCACTCCGCAAAGAAATTAGTAAAATGTTTTTACTTTAGCAACGTAGATAACTGAGTAAGGGAGAAACAAGTTTAAACATACGTTGGACAAACAAAATAGGATGTTTCCATCTTGATTTGTTTGCTGGATATTTTACACCGTGGAACAGTATTAGTATTATTTACTGGATGATATTTCTAACACAGTTGATTATTCATGTATATTCCTTTCAAAGATAACCTCATGTATTCTACATTCTGCCTTAATAGTTCTATTTTTTCTCTTTTATTTGTCTTACAGGTAGTAGGATTTTCCAAATATCTGGACTAGGTGTTAAGTCAATCCTATTCCATGTCTTCAATGTGGATTCGATCAGTAAAGCTTCGGCTATAGCATTCTGTCTGCACCCTGATAAGTTCGAGAAGCAATTGAAACGATATTCATTAACCTTCTGTACGAACATGCAGAAGGTTAATCAGCCACACATTGCTTGAGAGCTAATGAAACTACCTGGTTGCCCATATGAAGCTACCTTTGAAAGGAATATACATGAATAAACAACTGTCTTAGAAATGTCATCCAGTAAGTAATAATGCTGTTTCACTGTGTAAAACAGTTAATAAACAAATTAAGATGCAAACCATACACCACCACAGCGCCCAAGTTCTACACTCACACTAGCAGAATACAATCCTCACAGAAGTCTACCTATTCAACTTTCATGATAAATGATGATCAAAATCAGTTCGGTGGGCAGTTTGTGCTTATTGCACCATGTCAAAGTGGTGTCTCTCACTCATGAGGAGTCCAAAATAATGACCAAACAAATATACAGTGTTTCCGGTTTCTCAATGGTTCTCCAACTTATTTCAGTTCACGGGTTAAAACTACTTTGAAATAAGTTCAATTGATTGCTTATAAACTTCTGATCTTCTTAAGCTCTAGTCAGGTGAAACTGTGGTACACTGGTATAGGCATTCGACTTCCAACCAGTGGCTCATGGGTTCGACTCCTACTTTTGGTCGGTTGGGTAGTATAACTAACCCTAACACAATAAGTCTGGCTCATTTTCTGTCGAACAGATGTGTACTTGGTTTCTGAGCGCAGTTTGATCCAAGCTCCAATGTAAAAGGTAAAAAGCAACAAACCACATGACTGACGAAAATACAAAAATTGATATAACTGAATAATTCCTTGCCATAAAGATCGCTTCAATTAGTTCCAATTAGTAAACATTTTATGAATAAATATTACACATATAACAAAGAAACTGCCTGAAATAAAAACTTGAGAAGCTAGATAACGCACTAAACATGCTCTCTTACCTTCCAACCAAGAAGTTCACAAAGTTTAACAGCACCATCGTCTGCATTACCCAACCAAAATACATCACGTTTGTTATCAGGTTCACCACATTTCAGGTAATTCTTTTTAAAACCAGCAACCATGAATCGCATGATGAATGAAGATAAAGCCTCAATAAAAGTGGCGTAAAATGATATACATTTAAATACAATTTAATAAAACAAACATAGTTATTGAAATAGAAGAAAACGGGATCTAGTTTAAGGTAATCAATAGGACCAGTAGTTATATCAAAATAAGTTCATATGCAACACTGTTTAATTAATTATCAGTCACTTTGGACGGCAACAACTTAAAAAAACAATTGATAAGCAGTAGAAAAACTGAGACTGCTGGTTGAAGAGTATTAAAATTCGGCGTGAAGTTTCAAATGATGGAGCGAAATAGAATCTTAAAGCTTTTAACCTGGAAACTACCATAATCAGAACAGGTATAGTGAACTCCCAATATAACTTGTGGTATCACATCGACTGTAGCTATGAGAAAGAACTAACTTGCAGACAGAAAGACTATGGCCTAAACTAATCGATCTAAATCATGTGTGAAGAAGGCATTTAATGATTTAATACACTCAACAATAATCGGTGTTTAGATCAGCTGAGATAAATGGCCTAAAACATGTTGAGATAGTGCAATTGCTTTGGGAAATGAGGACCGTTAGTAATATATTCCTGTAACTCTTTCATTCCCTAATTATCCTTATTTTTGCAATTCAATTTAGCTTTACTGAAGAGGAGTATTGTCATCAGCAATTGCGTAGTGCTGTGTTACATTCCACTTTGAGTAGCGCTACTGGTAATTTCATACATATGCTTCAAATAAAAAAGCAGTACTGGTTTCTTGACTGCAGGTCAAATTAGGTAGTCTGCGAGATATGTAGTATCAAGAAGAAACTTCACAAAGAATAAACAACTCGTTGGTTAGTGAAAAAGTTGTTAATTTGGAGACATGAGATAATGTGGTAAAAAAAACGTTATCAACTTTTCTGATACATCAAGAGCCAGAAACTAAAATATAAAAATGAAAGGACCTTTGGTCTATAGGATATTATTCGAAAGTCAGGATTAAAAGTTTATGAAAAATGGATGTTGTCATGATACCAGGAGTTATGGAGAGGCTTTAGATGAAAAATTGCAGTTTGTGTTCTCGGAGTCTGGTATCAACTCAGGTCCAATTATGAAACCAACCCAAGATATTGAAATTCGTGGAGAAGAATTTTGAGGAGGAAATAGTTGAAAGTGACGTCAATGATAGGGGGATTAATTCAACTAGTCTTATTTGTAGTTCTATGTATCAATATACAATGCATTACATAACTTCAAAACACAAAAGAGTATACAGTAAAATAAATTACTGGAGAAGAAACATAATAATAATAATCAGCAAGGATGATCAAATCTTGGTTGGTGAGTAAAGTTATGTCTGCACTTTTTACCTGCTACATCAATCAGTCCAGGATGATTAACTGGTTTAGGTACCTGACTGAATTATTTGGTATTAGACTAAGATTTTCTCGCTCTGAATTATTATAGGGTCTGACACATTAAATGTGATACATAGCGCAACATACAAATTTAAACTTTATGACAGAGTCCCAATTACTTTTCTATACTGACTTTATTAAATACCATAAAAACAATATAACGGGGATTTCTTCACATTACACTGCGAAAAGAAAACTCATGAATACCACTTCAAAATCTCAATTCTAAACAGTTTTTCAGTTGATAGTTTTCGGGGATTGATTGGTCTAAAGGTAGTTTTCATCACGCACTGGCACTGGCTGGAGAATCATTGGAAACTTAGGAGGACTGAACAATAGTTTTTTCCTAGTTTTGGATTACTCAAAAGTGTACACCCATGACTCCACAAGAGATCGAGCCAATGAACGTCAGATCTTGCCGTGAGTTTATTGTCATTAAGTCACTAGGTTGGAATCCAACGGTCTATATTTTCCTAAATCTGCCAATATGTTAATTGCTGCCTCTGCTGATTACTGATATGCCTCAACAAAGTTTTCCTGAAGCTCTAATGAGAAGCAATAATCTGTGTGACCAACTAATTCGGATATGACGACAAATATTCGCCGATGGTACTAAGCGATGGTTGCTTTATATCACTAATTCGAAGAAAATGTGAACTATTAGATTTCAACTCAGTGACTGAGTGGTAACTTGTTCGCTACGAGACCTGAGCTTCTGAGAAGTTCCAACTAGCACGAAACAGCTCTTCATTGCTCTCAGGTTTTCAATGGTTCTCCAAATGATGACAGTCTACTACTACAAAAACAGTTTTTCTTGTCAAATGAAGTATGACAGAAGTGACCACTACTGAGTATTTGAAAAGGCGTACTATCCCTCTCAACGATAGCACTCGAAGGTTGGTACAAATTAGAGAAAGCAAAGAGAGGCTGCACACTTGGTAAGTGGAAGACCAACTGAAACCCAATACTTCACAAAAGTAGTCTGAGTGAAAGATGAACTTTTCATTGTTTTCTTGAAGAATGGGTCTGAATAAGGCTAGAAGAACAACAGTAGCAGGATTAAGATTTCGAAGATTCTCATTAGCTGCTTTACAATCTATGGAATATAATGTTTATGGCGAATAATACGTCATACAACGTACTTTAATGAATAAACAATTATTTTTCGAATTGAGATGGAAAGTAACCTTTGAATTTGCAGAAATGTTGAAGGATCTTAAGATTTCTTTTGATGAATCATCCTTATTCATAAAGGTACCACTGGAAGAGACGGTAGATATCATATGTTAGTATCCAGAACTACTTCCATTTTCAAAATATGAATTCAAACAGCTCCTGCCGGTGGTGCGTACAAAGAATGTCTCATTTCAATTCATCAACGTCCTATACCGTCAAATCGATGCAGTCACCCTAGGTAGCCCCTCTGGGCTTCATCCCCGCTGATATTTTCATGCGGAGTCTAGAACAGATGAAACTGAAATCTGCAATCAACCAAACAGCAATATACTTAAGGTATATTGAAGATACATTTGTCGTTTGCAGTAATAGTGGACATCCCTCTCATTTATTGATTACTTTTTAGTGAAGTAATCACAATGGAAACATAACAAATTTTACTTCCTAGACCATAGCCTAAAACGTTGTGAAAATGGAAAGATTCATAGACGCATTCATCGGCAAAACAGGTGGAGTGGGCCTTATTTAAATTTCAGCAGCTTTGCCCAATCAGTTACAAAAATGTCTAGTAAGAACACCTTTCAACCGTACGCATAAACTGTACTCTGAAGAAAAAATTGAAGAAGAACTGACCTTTGTCGAAAACTGTCTACACGAAAATGGTTACCCACAAAAGTTCATTGACAAGTACGGTAGGACAGAAGTGAAGAGGAGTAAGGGCAGTGTACAGTTGACAAGAAGCTCGTCTATCTACACCTTTCCTTTCAATAGATGAAATTGCTTCAGGAATGATTTATAGACAGTGCTGTAATAAAAAGGACCTGTCTAGTTGCCAAGTTAGTCTGCATGTATCAGACTAAATACTCATCTAGACAGTTCAAAGTGGACAAGTTCCCACCTCTTATTACTTCCAACTGTATCTACTAATTCAAATGTAAGTGCCAAATCATATACATCTGAAGAACAGAGAGAAAGGTTCTTGTCCGCATTTCTGAAAATATTACAAAGAATTCGAGTCTTAAGATCCACAGGTTTAAATAGTGCAATCGCCGGGCATTTGCTTGATACTGGGCATAAAGTCGACGTATTAAAGGGATTCGTAGTGATCAACAAACAACCAAAGACCACTTTGTTGCGGTTTGCTGAGGCAGTTTCAATTAAAAGACTCAAACCTGATCTATGTATTCAGAGAGATAGTGTTGTCAATCTTGTATTACCTTGGTAATTTTAACCTGTTAGGTCTAAGTAAAAAGTTCATAACCTCATGACCTCTAGTTTTTCCACTTCATTTTTCGGTCCATTTCAAAACTTACTGAGTTGTATTTGTCTTATTGCTCAATATAATGAAAACATGTTAACCTTTTACTACGTTTACTTAACGCTGTGTAAAACCGCTTCCCAGATATATATATATATATATATATATACGCTTTTTCCCCATCTTCACTTGAATGTTCATTCTGTCACTATATAAATAGTTAACCGTTGAGCAGTCTTAACAACTTCATGAATATCAGTCAACTTAAATCTTCGTTACCTTCCATCTCAATTTGAAACATTCTTATCGACTCATTAAAGTACGTTGTGTAACATTGTTTACCATAAACATTATATTCTGTAGGTTGCAAAGTAGCTGATGAGAATACATCCATGCTAATCCTGCCACTACTGTTCTTCTTGCCTTATTCAAATTCATGAAATGGAAGAAGTAATGACCGAAGTTTAAGAAGCGATCACATGACTGATAATTATTTTAAGTAGAACACTAAAGGAGTAAAACTTGGACATTGGTAGATTATAGGGAATGAAAACAATCTAGGATTGATGTAATATGCACGATAATGTATAAACATACTGACTTGTGTTTTAGTAAAGAACACAATGACTTAAAACTGAATAAACTACAGCAAATAACGTCTACAACTAGTTCTTTACGGTGAATAATAAGGTTATACAAACTATTTTAATGAAAGATTTCGGTACGGTTTGGACATTTGCAACGAACTTGTGAAGGAGACTTGCAATTTATAACACTTTAACCCAATTACTTACACCATATGTTATAACAACGTGGAATGGCACACAATAAATAAACACACATCGTGTAGATGGTTGAACATTCATTGTACTATCACTTAGTTAAAGTTCAGAGTAAAATCTGACAAAATTGAGTAAATTATTCTACACAACCTATTTTATGCGTTATGCAGCACAGTGATTTGATTCTGACGTCTGATAACATGATGTGTATGAAAAATATTACATCTAAACGTCTGAAGATATATGGTATTATCCTGTGTTGCTCATAAGGGCATATGGATTTTAATTCGCACATACCTTAGTGTAAAATAATAAATAAGCTGAATATCGCTTTCCTTCAAACGTAATGAGTCACACTCATCTCTTTAAGTTAAATAACTCATCATCATCAAGCTTTTTAATAAAAAAAGCATAAAAAGTACAACGGGTTCCGCAAATAAAGAACTAATGTTACTGAAATTATTTCATTATGCATGTTCACCAGTACTTACGCCTAACTTATAATTACGGTCAAAGTAGTTACTGTAAAACAACTGAAGATAAAGTAAAGTCTTAGGCATGTGAAACCCATAAAAACTAGGTGTAGAAGGAAAGGAATAAGTCCTACTGTTATGGTATATATATATATATATATATATATATCCTTATGAAGATTTAGCTTAGATCACTACTCACGGATGAGGCTAATACTTAGTTAGCCATCACGTCTCATATCTTATCTGGGTCAAAGTTCACAGCAACTCGGATACATTTTAAATGTGTATTATCAATCCTGATGTAAGAAAAAAGAATGTATCTACCATGATTAACTTAGTCCTATTGTCACTTACTTAACTACACTTATCGGTTTGGAATAAGGCAAGTAAAACTATCTAAGCAGTAAATACACTGAATTCAGAGTAGATGACTTCCTCTGTCACTTCACAAATAGGCGGAGAACCAAAGCTCAAATATAAAGGACAGTTGGTGATTTCATATTTAATTGTGATCAAGACTCCTTTTTCAATCCCAGTGCTTTTACAAATAAATTGAGATGTAACTAAATAACAGTAACAGTTTGCAAATCAATCGTTTCTAACCTCATGGCAGTCTTTCACACAAATGACAGTAAATCAACAAACAAAACTTACAGAATCAGTAGTGCCATTATTGAATTCTCGATTGATGTACAGTCTCGGAACATCAGTGCCACGCGATGAATAAGAGCACAAACGGCAACACAGTTAAAGAAGTGCCCATTATGATAAGTAAGTCACAGTTGCTGAAATCCTTATTTTCAGGTAAAAGAATCACAAAATAAAGAGTGGAATTTTGGGAGATTATCATAGTACTGAACTGGACAAGTATTATATATCTCTAAGTACACAGTAATAATAATAACCTAAATTCATCTCATGCTTTGCGCAACCCTCGCCCTAAGGGTCACGTAAATGACACCAAATAATACATCTATTTCGTCAAATAAAGCCAAATGGATATCAAAAACAAAGAACTGAGCAAAAAAAGTAAATGCTAGATTACAAGGCATGTCAATATCATTATCAACATAGGACCAGGCATTACTGCGTAACGGTCCGAGTTGCCACACCTCATATCAGCACATCAAGTAAAAAGGTAGTGAGGTGAAGGATGAAGATAAGTGAATGCAGTCAAAAGAAATATAAAGCATGAGAAGAAAGGAAAGAGGAGTGACAAAATAGTGAGATTCGGTATAGCGTTGTTAAGATGAGGATAATGTGTGTATACATCTGCGCCACTGACTTCGGTTCTGAGCCATATCACCTAGGGTCTCCAACCACTGGTTCCTCTTGTCCCGTGGACCCCAACCACCTAGTCTGCATCGTCCTACATGGCTTAAACCAACAGTCAGAGACTTCATACATTGGTGCCATGTTTTAGTCTGGCCACCTCGGGCCTTTTTCCAGCCTGAACCCACCTCAGCCAACATTGTGTGACGAGGCAATCGGTGACTAGGCATACGTAGTACGTGTCCCAACCATCTCAGTCGATGAAGGTTCACAACCTCGTCGACTGACTTACCTCTTCTCCCTAAAACTCTACACCTAACTTCTGCATTACTCACATGGTGACACCACGGAATACGTCCTATACTACGAAGGCAACGGTGGTCAAATACCTGTAACCTTCTCATGTCTTCCACTTTCAATGGCCATGTTTCACAGCCATACAGTAGAACAGAGCGGACTGCTGTGCAGTACACGCGACCCTTAATAGACAAACGAATATCACGGCGGCGCCATAGGTGGCGCAAATTGGCAAAAGCCAATCGAGCCTTTTGTATCCGTGCAGAAATCTCATCGGCAACTAACCCACCAGGGTTGATCCTACTTCCCAGGTAAGTGAAGTGGTCAACACACTCAACCACTTCACTCTCTATTGTTAACCGCGGTACCGCTGAAGACCAGTCCTGGAGCAAAAATTTGCATTTGGGTGGTGAAAATCGCATCCCAAACATTCTCAAATTCCCACTCAAAGTGTTCAGAAGACTCTGCATCTTGTCAGCGTCTTCACCTAACAGGACTATGTCATCTGCATATTCTAGATCTAAGGAAAATTCACCTGTGATCCGGTCAACGTCTTTGTAATTAGGTGACGAGAGGGAAACCTCCATAAGAATATCTATGATAAAATTAAATAAGAATGGGGATAGTGGGCATCCTTGACGGACACCACTTGATGAGTATAGCTCCCTGGACAACTCACCATAGGCTCTAACATGCCCACAAGTGTTCGAGTAGAGAGCTTTCAATAAGGTGATGTACTTACTAGGCACGCCTTTCAGTGACAGACACTGCCATAAGACTTCTCGATCAACGGAGTCAAATGCCGCCTTCAGGTCGAGAAATACAGCTATTGTCGGGCGTCTGTAAGCATGCCTATGTTCCAGGACCTGGCGCAGTGTGAATATTTGGTCGATACATCCACGGCCAGGTCTAAAGCCTGCCTGGTTTTCTCGGGCTTGCTGTTCCCGAGCTCCACTCAGGCGTCGGAGAATTATAGAACTTAGGATCTTAGACACTATGTTTGTCAGGCTGATTCCTCTGTGGTTATCACAAGAGGACTTCTCGCCTTTCTTGAAGACTGGGATAATGAGTGACTTAGACCAGTCGGAGGGGATCGTATTTGATTCCCATATACTGGCTAACACTTCCGTTAGCCTGACTAAGAGAACTCTACCACCATTCTTGTATACCTCAGCAGGTAGTCCGTCTGGTCCTGCTGCCCTTCCCCGTTTCAGGCTACCTACCGCTTTCTCAACTTCTTCTAGTGTTGGGGGACCTGTCTCTATGTCCCATTCAGGGTCCGACTGGATAGCGGGCAGCGCAATGGTGGCTGGAGGCCAGTTAAACTGTTCCTCAAAGTGTTCTGCCCATCGTCCCAGTCGCCTTCCCTGCGAGTGAATCGCCGATCCGTCCTTCTCCGCTATAACCTCACTAACTGTTGTTGACCATTTCCCCCCAGTCTCCTTAATAAGTCTAAATAACTGTCTACTGTTACCGATCGCCGCTGCCTTTTCCATCTCTTTAGCCTTTGCTGCCCACCACTGTTCACGATCGTTGCGCAGACTTTTCGTCAGTTTATTTTTAAGTTGCGCTCGCTCTTCATTGTACTCAGAGCCTGCAGGGATGCATTCACGTGCATCCATTAGTTTGGAAGAAGCTGCTGATATCCACTGGCTCTTTTTAGCCATTATCTTGGAGTCGGCTACAGTCTCCAGTGCTGCTTTTACAGTAGACTGAAGATGGCACCAAGCTTCTTCTGGATGAGTGACAGTCTTTTGTTCCGATAACTGCCTAGCCAACTTCTCACTGAACACGGCTTTGGTGTTTTCGTTGTCCAGCAGAACTCGTAGTGGTTTTGTTGCCAAATGTTTCCTACGTCCATTCAGACGCAGACATATACGCACTCGGACCAACGTGTGGTCGCTATCCAAGTACGTACTCCAGAAGGGGCGGTCTATCTGGGCCCATCGCTGAGTTGAGCTCAGTGGACGCCACGTCAGACAGTGTCTTTGTCTGTGTCTGAAATTTGTGCTAGCCAGAAATAGGCGGTTATCTGAGCATAGCTGTGGTAGGCGATCACTGTTATCTGTGCTTCCAGCCAGGATTCCGAAAGTGTCACCTAAGTGCCTTTCTCCCTCACTCAGTCTACTCACCTGTCCATTGAAGTCACCTGCAACAACCACCACATCCGAACGCTTGGCTTTCGAGAGGAGGCTAGACAGTCTACGGTAGAATTCGTCCTTCACTTCTTCCAAACTACAGTCAGTGGGTGCTAAAGCAGAGATTACAAAGAGACGACGGTGAGTTTCAATATTCCTTTCACTCCTCACTGACCCGTTCAGCTGGACAGCCAGCGCACAGGTTACTATCAACTGGGATCCAGTCTAGTAGTGGGTTTTCTGCCCTGGTACTTAATGTTATACCTATACCTACACCTGCAAGACCACGCGAGCTAGCTATCGAATCTCCAGAAACTAGAAGGGTGAACTTTGCGGATTCACCAGATTGGTCAGGAGAGGTCAGGTGAATAACCACACTTGGATCCTGTATGCGTGTCTCACAAAAACAGCACACATCCATGGCCCGAGTTGCTAGAGTCTTTGCTAACGAAGCCTGTTGGCCAATTTGACGGAGGGTGCGGACATTGAAGGCTCCAATATGTAATTTGGAGTGTGGTTTAAGGAGACCAAGGATGCTAAAGATGATGTAGTATTGTTAATTGGGAGACGTGAAGAAAGATTAGGTGGTAATAAGGAGGGAGGTGGATAACAGTCTGAGGAAACTTGAGTGCTGACAGAGTTATGAGGGCGATCGACACTTCCCGGCTGCCCACACCGTGGTAGGCAATTTCTTCTTAAGGTACCTAAAAGAGATTTGTGTGACCGCAGAGCCCATCGGACATCTTGCTTGAGGACTTTCACACGTAGCCTTTTGAGTATGATTATTTTGATTTTTTGTTGTTTTGGGACCGGATGGTGGAGAAGAAAGGACAAATGAAGCAACACCGCTGGCCCGGCAGACTGTGGGGCATAGTGGAGTGTGTTATTTTTGGAGCCGACCTTTTCTAACCCTTGCCCTTCCACTGAGAAGGCAGCATCAGTATTGCACTGCTGTCACACCCCGTCCAGCTAGCAGCAGTATGACTTCGCCCTCAGACCCCCATCATAGTGTAGCAATTTACACTATAAGGGTAACTCCCTTTCGTCCAACCACTATCCAACAGACCTTTCTGGTATGGTAGGACCTCGAGGGAACAAGCGTTCCACCAGCATAGCTCTTTGGGTCATTGTGATATGCAAGCCCGACCACCACGTCAAGGTAGCAGCTATCGGTCGGACACGGCATGTTGTTTTAAAACATTGCAAAAAACTAACTTACTTGACAGCTCTTAAAGTTTCACTTTCCAGTGGTAAGTCCTTTTTAAAACATAGTTCCTTGGAAGAGCGTGGGGTCTAAAATTCCTCTATTGTTATACTAACTTTATTGATCGCTGCAGCTACATGTAGACTCTTTCAAAACACCATACTTCAACTGGTAACACATGAAACAATGATCTTGGAACTAGTATATTAAATGTTCACCACAACCAGATCGCCTAATGATGCTTATTTACCTAATTCTTTTTATGGAAGGTAGAAAAAATCCTTCGTAAACTGACTGATTCAGATAAGACTGTAAGTATTCATACCTGTATAATCGTATGACACCATCCTTACCGGCTAAATTTGCGACGACACAGAGAAACGATTGCCTATCCTATGGCTACTAGATAGTGCAGTAGTCAACTCTGTGTCATATCATGATTGTGAGACGGCTACTACAAACAGACAAAATGATAATGGCAAAGGTGTTCGATCACAGATAAATATGAAACGTAATCTATTTTGATGGAACCATCATACCAGTGTTGAAAAATTAATAACCTGCAAAGACTAGGATCGCTAGGCATAAACTTTACACCTACTTCGATAAGTGATATCACTAAAGTAGGAATAGTTTGCAGAAATGTTGAGGGTGGTCAAACTAAGATATGCTATTAAACTATGAAGTCCCTGTTTAGTGATGATGGACAGTGGCTAGCAGTGAAATCTACAACGCACGTTTCGACTAACGATAGAAAAATAACTTCTCAACATGATATTCAGCTGACACCAGAAAAAGAAGACAATAAGATTAAAGATATATTTGCTTCAACCGAATAGTGAAATTATGGCTGAAAGATCAGTTGTTTATATATACTTAAATATCCTTGGCCGAGGAAAACATAAAAGCATATTAAAAGTGTAAAATGGACCAGTCAGAGTTTGAGTATCCTAAACCGCGGTAAAGATAAGTAGCGTTGCATGGTCCAAAAACGGCGCGAAAAATAAGGTTTAGGTTTTACAGTGATAATATATACATATTATAGATTAGTTTTCTTAGGAATTAGGCGCCTCTAACACTTCCTTTTACCGATTTCACATGACGGTCAACTTTTTCCATTTCTGCGGATCATACGAAAGCATTAACCCAATCGAAAGGTATTCATGGTCTCCTGAAACCACTCCCGCAGCCACATGTTGAAACGCTTAGTGTTTGTAACCTTTGTCAGATAGAATGACACTTTTCATCAATGACGTCTTTAGAATTCTCAAAATAGTGGAGTACATTTTAATAACTTACCTTTAAAACAATGGGGGCTTTGAAGACTGAATGGAGGCTTTTTGTGACATATCGACAGTATTAATTTTAACTGAATTAAACAGTAATTTACATAAAAATTTCCTAAAATCTCCCGCATTAAAAGACTGTGAAATAGTAATTCCTATTTTTATACCACTAACGTTTCGTGCTACATTTGAAAAACTGTTTCCACGGGTTTACAATCATTAGTGCTTTCAGTGAACGGTTTTTGACAATTTATTCTTGCGAATACAAGGACAGAGGAGTTCACAGGCATGATTATATACTTAAACCAGTTTTACAATTTTGGCTGGTAAAGTTTCACTACACAAAGATAATCGGTTTTTCACTTTGTACAATTGATAGAAGTTACTTCAGATAACTACATACATCATTTTTTCTAAGTATGGTCAGTGAAGTAAACAGAATCCAGTATAAAATAGCCCAGGCCATAAGTAGGCTTTTCCGCCCAATCACTTAAGCATTTAACTAAGCCTACTTTAACCGAGATGGGATGAGAGGATTTGAAGTCTAAATAGCGATTCAAATGGAAAGGTTTTCTATAGACACTAGTCTCTAAACTTCAGTCGTGTTCGTTTAGTCTCGCAATGCAACATTGCTGGTTCACTTACATCACTTTTTAAGTCACAGGTAAATTTAGCACAGACCATCTTCTTTTAGGGACTCTTCAAAATTTTGTATAAGAAGGCCAGGATCAAGAAGTAAAATAAAAACCAGACTTACTGAGGAAAGGTTTTTGTAGAATATTTTGGGCATATCCTCTCCAAAAAATACAACATCTGTAAGTATTAAGCCAATAAAAAAGTTATTATTCACCAGGTTTCACGACGCCCTGGCACTTGACACACACTGGTATTTTTTTGGCCATAATTTTTCCTGGAAACACGTACAGAACTTTATCGTTTGCCATGAGCGGAAATACCTAACATGAACTGGAAATCATACTGTTCCTTGCAGTCAATGCAGTGTCCTGTATTGAATGTTCCATGAGCTTCAATCAACTTCTCTTCTGGTAAACCAGATAAACGTTCTAGATTATCTACATTCTAAAGATAGAGTTAAACAGAGATAAGATACATTTTACCTGTGTATAATGTCTAAGCAGTATGCCCTTTTCGTGAAGTAACCTAATAAAATAATGAGCCAATGTAGGCTAATTTTGAAAATTATGTTGCGTAAATCACATACTTTTGCTTCTGGTCGGTATAAACGTCTTGCAACTTCAAAGAATGCTTTTGGATTGCGCTGGAAAATTCGACAAATAGCTGATGAAAGCAAAAACATACTCGGAAATAGTCAATAGAAAATACTGCCATTGGATTTGGCAAATTAAACTCCTCCAAATTGTCATATATACCGGAAGATGAACTTCGGAAATCAGGTATTCCAGCAGCTGAATACGAATAAATAGTAAGTGCAATGTTAATTTAAGCGTGTTAACCAGCTGTTAAATTCAAAAAGTCCCTTGCATGTAAATCATCAGTATCAAAACTTAAATACGAAG